GGGCGTCTTGACCTCTCCCCCTGCATCCTCCCCTGGGTCCGGCCGGCCCGCCCCGCGAGGCGCTGCAGCGCCCAGGAGAGGGCGCCGAGAGAGCCCCTAGCTCAATGTGACTTCCACGATCGCACAATACTAGAACTTAAGATTGTTTCAACATGTGTCCCAATGCGCTTCTACGAAGCAGCAGGACCGTCTAACGACGGCCCCAAATTGCCATGGAACCTCCCCAGTGACGCCCCCGAGAGGCCGAACTCAGCCAGAGCCCACGGAATGCAAGGGAGCGTCACTGGTCGGTTGCCTTCTCGCTGCTTCGCTCTCGGTGGGCCCCTGAGGGGTGGATTCAGGAAGGTGCGGGGCGAGGCGACGCGACGCGAGCGCGCGATGTCGGTCCGACGGGACCGGCCAAGAGTCGGGCAGGGCCCAAGAGCACCAGTACAAGAGAGGCGGGCGCCAATACAACGGCCCAAAGAGCACCCGGGAGCGCCCGAAGAGGGTAGCGAGGATGCCACTACTTAAGGGCTCCGACGGGGCGAGGCTGATCGATGAGCCCTCCCTCGATCAACAACGTTCGAATGCTCGGCGCGGAGATCCCCAGATGTGCGTCTCATACTCCTGCCACGTTGCGCTGAGGAGCTGTATATGAGCATCTGGGTATGAGAGCGAGTCCGCGTAGACGACAGGCGCGGCAATGGCGATGACGACAGCGACGACCTCAGTGACGTCCCCCTCCTCCTCCTCCTCCTCCTCCTCCTCCTCCTCCTCCTCCTCCTCCTCCTCCTCCTCTGGGCATCGTTCAGGAGAGACGAGGGAAGCACACACGTGGAAGAGCGAGGCGGAGGTCCCTCTTGCCGTCCTCCCCGCGTGGACTGAGTCAAGAGCGCACAGCGCTGCGACGCCCGCTCTCGGACGTGCTGCTCGCGGCGCCTGCCAGCTTTGTGGGGTGCCCCAGTGCCACTCCGGCCATGCCGCGGTCAACCATGGTGTGCGTGAGCCCGAATGCGAGTGAATCTGAGCGCGGGTCATCTCAAAGGGCGCGAGTCGGAGTGGGATGGACCCCGATACGATCGAGCCTCACTGTTTGAGTGAGTCTGAATCTAGCCTGTGTGAGGACGAGTGGGTCTGAGCATGAGTGAGTCTGAGTGCGAGCGAGACTAAGTGCGGGTGGGTCTGAGTGCGAGTGAGTTTGATTGTGGGCAAATCTGAGTCTCAATGTGTGACTATACATATGAGTCTGAGTGAGCCTAGCTGCGAGGTAGTCTGCGCACGAGTAAGTCTGAGGGCTTGTGGCTCAGAGTGCGAGTGAGTATGACTGCGAGGTGGTCTTGGTGTGGGTGGGGCTGACTTTGAGCGAGTCTGAGCATGAGTTAGCCATTATGCGCCAGTCTGAGTTTGACGAATCTGATAATGAGCGAGTCTGAATGCGACAAGTGAGTCTGAGCGAAGAAAGATGTGCTGCTGAGTAAGTCCGAATTGAAATGAGTGCGTCCGAGTGGGGAGGAGGGGAGAAACAGGGGGGAAAAAAGCCTGAGACATCATCACACACCGCTCCGACAGCAAAGGATGCTGGGAATGCTAGCAAGCAGACCCGCCTGAGACACCCCAAAAATCTGGGCGCGATCCCAGAGTGTCCTTAAATTCCTTTCGCTGCAACAGCTCTACTTAAATTGGGCTGCTGCCTCCAGGGAGGCCTCATCTAACACTACAACTTCTGCTTCGAATACTGTCACAAGAGACTCCCAATAATAGCCGTGCACGACCGAGGACCCAGAATGTTCTGACCCTTGCCCCCCCCCCCCTTGGAGAGTGCTGAAACAAGCGCCTCGCCTGAGACATCACTAGATCTGCTCCGAAAGCAAATGATGCTGGGTATGCAAACAGGCAACCGCCTGAGACATCCCCACAATCTGGGCGCGACTCCTAGAGTGTCCTGACCTTCGGCGCCCCCTCCACTTAGGCGTGCTAAAACCAGCGACTCGCCTGAGACATCCTCAGGATCTGCACAAAAAGCACAGGATGCTGGGCACGAAAAATGGCAGCCCGCCTGAGACATCCCCCACAATCTGGGCGCGAACCCTGGAATGTCCTGACGCCTGGCGCCTCCCCCCCCCTGGGGTGCCCGAGTGCTACGCCTGCGACATCGCAATGAGTATTGGAGCACCAATGATTCTGAGTGAGTCTGAGTCCCAGTACGAGAGAAGTATGATTGTGAATTCGCATGAGCGTGATTGAGTCCGAGAGTGAGTGAGTCGCAGTGAATGAGTCTTAGTGTGGGTGGGTCTGCATATATTGAGTCTGGATATGAGTGGGTCTGAGTGCGAGATAAGTCTGGGTGGGAATGAGTCTGAGTGTGAGTGAAGCCGAGTATGAAGGACACTGGGAGTGAGCGGGTCTGAGTGTGACTAAGCCTGCGTCTGGATGAGTATGGGTGAGTCTGAGTATGAGTGAGCCACTCTGACTGAGGAATAGAAGGAAGAGGAGGTGATGAGGTTGTTCCTCGGAGCCGTCTGCGTAATGACAAGAATCCAATCCTAGGAAATGGAAACAATGATGATGCTCATGATGGTTATGATGATGACGATGATGATGACGATGGTGATGATGGTGATGATGGTGATGATCGTCATCATCATTAGCGTCGTCGTCATCATCATCATCATCACCACCATCACCGCGCCCACCAGCTCCGTCAATATCATCATCGTGTTTGTTTGAATGATATGGGGCTGAGATGGTTCCAAGATGGCCCCTGATACTCCACGAGTACTTCCAATATGGCACAATGTGGCCAACGCGAGCTAATCATTGCCTCCATCGCATGGCCGAGGAATTATCCCAGTTCGCTGCTCCAACACACAAAATTGCGCGGTAACGCTTGCAAACTACGCATTGCGTAGAAGACAGCGCATACGTATTCGCAGTTGTGTCCGGTCACTCCTCCACGCATCGCCCCTCACTAGAGATGCAGATTAGTTTCGAGAGCCGATAGCTCTGCTTGATGCTCCTAGGGTCGTTGTTGTTCGGTGCAACTTTGGAGGGGGGACGGGGATCGGACAACACCAAAACATGTAACCGCCTTTGCGCAAACCTGAGACCACTTTCAAAGCCTGCAAATACATACAAACGCGCACGGGAAATGCGCGAAGTGCAAAAGGGGGAGAAAGGAGGACGAGGAGGACGAGAAGCAGAAACTGTGCAAGTAGGGAAACGGAGACAATAGCGTCGGGCGGGTACATCTCCTATGATGGCCACTCGAATTGAAAGCACACGCAGAACGCCAATGATGACAACACAAGTGCATTACCAACATCATCTGCATGTGCCGACGCGGGCCATGACACGGCGAGTCGTGGTGTAAGATCACTTCCATGTGGCGACGTAGTGCGATCTACATTCTATGCGGCGATGCGGGTGATGGCAAAAGTCCAAGGCTTCTATTGGGTCCGAGGCGGCTTCAAGAAGAGAAAGGGAGAGGCAGATGGGAGCTGCACGGGACAGACTCCGACGCATTCCTGGTGGCCCCCGAAGCAGACATCGAGGGATAAGCGCCACGGCTGAAAAAATCGGTCCACCACAGATCAGGGGTAGGAACAAGGAAAAGGGGTACCACCTTAGTGGGCCCTGGAAACGACAAGGCCGTTTTTTACCGGTTCCGTTTGGCCGTTTTTTGCCGGTTCCGACGCCGTTTTTGTTACCGGTTCCGTCGCCGTTGTTTGGCCGGTTCCAGCTCTGGCTCCAATCCTGGAGCCGTTTTTCTCCGTTTCGGGTCGCCGTGTTTTTGCCGTTTCCGTTTTCAAGGGACACTGGATCGGAAGCGGTGAAAAAACGGCCCTGCCGTCTCCGGGGCCCGCAAAGGGTACCGCCATCCGCAGCTGCGCGAAGAGCCACGGGGGAAGGGCTCTCCTGGTCGTGTGCCCCTCCCCTCCCGCGCCCCGCTCGAGACGTCGCATCCCCAGCTCGGGGAGGCATCGCGGGCCTCCTCGCTGGAGGTGGCATCCTCCTCCCCCTCCTCCTCCTCCTCCTCCTCCTCCTCCTCCTCCTCCTCCTCCTCCTCCTCCTCCTCCTCCTCCTCCTCCTCCTCCTCCTCCTCCCCCTCCTCCCTCCTCCTCCTCCCCTGCGTGGCGGTGTCCCACGAGGAGCGCACAGATCTCCCTACCCGCGCCCCCGCGGCCTGGCCTTCGGGGCGCGGCCCCGCGGGATGCGCGGGGGGCGCCCGGCCGCGCTCCGCGCGGGGGCGTGCGCGGCACGAGAGGCGCCGCAGCTTCCGCAGGGCGGCGGCCCAGGGGCTCAGCCCGCGAGACCGCGGAAACGGGCCTCCTCGGAAGGGGGCGGGCCCGGGCCTCCTCGGAGGCCCCCGCGCCCTCCGAGGAGGCTCTCCTCCGTGCGCCGTCGGGGGAGGCTCCGGCAACCTCTCGGCAGGCCGGGGGGGACTCCCGAGCCTGCCGAGAAGGCCCGCCCCCGCTCGCTGGCCTCCCCGGGCGCGCCGCCGACAGCTCGGAGGAGGGCTCGCCGAAGTACGCAGGCCTCCAATGTGTGTGCATGCACAGGTTGTCGGCTAGGGTGGCTCGATGGGGGGGGAACAAGAAAATGTGGCCTTCACCCGCGAGGGTCGCTCCTGCCCCCTGCGAGACAGGTGCGAGTGCGAGGTAGGCATACTGCATGTCTGCATATCCGCCGCCTGTGAAACCGACGCCCTGGGACCCCAGCGGGCGGTGGATCCGGATACACCTGGGACCCAGGGGGGGCCCGAATCTATCCACATCCACCGCCTGTCGATGCCTCCCGACACCGAAACTCCACGCGTCGGGCATGTCCTCCTACAGGCGGATTTGGGAAGAAACACGAAAACAACTGATAAAACCTATTCAAAAATGAATAAAAAAATAGTCCCCTGACTATGTATATTATTATTTTCCTGTATTCCTCGTGTAAATAAACATGCCCGACTCCAGGCCACGTAGGACATATCCTTGCCTCGGAGGTGCCTCGCCCCCGCCGCGGGCCGCCTGCGTCAGCAGCAGCATCGAGCCCATGCCGTCTGGGTGCGACGTGAGCCTCCCGAAGACCGGCCCGTCCTCGGGGGCGATGCGCAGCCCATCGTGCGCGGCCCCCTCCTGCGCGCCGAGCGCGCGCGCGGCGCGCGCGACCCGGGAGAGGCGGCGAGGGGAGGCCTCTGCTGGCGGCACCGGTGCGCCTCCCTCGCCATTGCTCGGACGTCCGTTCCCTGTGCTTTTGTTCGGTCTCGTGCGTGGTGTGTTCGCAAATTGATCGAGGATGCTCCTCGATGGTTCTCGCTGAAGGAATAATGCACACGTCCGAGCGATGCCAAGCTCCCACTGCGCACGGCGCGAGGCGGGCCCCGCGCGGGCGGGTGCGACTGGGGCGGGGGGGGTGGCCACATAGATTCGGGGAGGAGGGAAGAGAAGGCCCTGCCCAACAAAAACCCTCTTGGGCACCTGCTGGCCCCCGAAGGGGCCCTCCGGTTATGTCGGGCGTGTCCCCCTACGGGGGGATGGATTGTCGACGAAAAATAAGACATACCTCAAAAATACACCAGAAAGGTCGAAAAATACACAAAAAATAATCCCCAGACTATTGTTGCACTACTTTTGGCGTATTTGTAACTTTCGTCGGAAATCCCCCTCTAGGGGGACAGGCCCGACTTAACCCCACGGGGCACCTCTGGGGCCATCTTCTTCACCCCCCCATCTGGGCCATCCCAACATGCGCGGCCGCCTCGCGGCCACGAGCGGCTCGCTAACCCGGGTCGGTCAGAGGGGGTCGTCGAAGGATTCTGCAGGATCCGGTGCCATGGCTAACCAACGTCTGCATTGACCCCCGTCTCTTGAGCCCTGATTAGAGGCCTCCTAGATGGGGTCCGAGTAGATGGGGTCGAAGGATCGCGCCGCATCGCCAATGCATCGCCGATGTATCGGCGATGCATCGGCGATGCATCGGCGACGTCGGCGATGCATCGGCGACGCCGGTGTGGGGAAACACGGGCTCCACATCGAGCCGCATCGTCGATGCATCGGCGATGCGGCGCGATCCGCCGACCCCGTCTACTCGGACCCCATCTAGGAGGCCTAGACTGATTCACCCGCCCGACCAGACTCCCGGTGGATTGGCCTTCTTGCGATCTCGGCGTCGGCCCTCGATGCATCGGCTCTCTCGGGGGCGGCCCTTCGATGCCGAGGGCCGTCGGGCGACAACTCGGGGCGACCAGCCGGTCTCGGGAGGGATCTGGGAGGAGGCCTGGCGGGGGAGAATGGATGGGACTTTGGTGGCTGAGCGCAGGATCGAGCGGAGAAGACTAGATGGGAGTATGATGTGGCTGAGCGCAGGAGGGAACGAAACTTGAAGCAAGAGGCTACCCAAGACCTCGACGAACCAACACGGCCTGCAGCTGCGCCGGCACACCTCCTCCCCTCGGATACGACACCCGATCGATGCGAGACAACTTCTGTCTTCCCTTCCGAAGTTATGGGCTCACAATCTGCTTCCAGGTGCCCGCCATCGAGGGCATCAGAACTGCCAAAATGCACACAGAAAGGAGCCAGAAGCGAGGGAGGACGGGGGAAAACACTTGAGAACGGAGAGGTTAGGGACCCGACTCTCGAGGAGAGGGCTCGACCAAAACAGTGTTTTTTGTATCCAAAATGTTTTCGTTGTCCCTCATGTTATCTCCGATCCGCCTCTGCGCCTGAGGACCGAGCGTGGGCAAGCCCTGCTGGACGGGCATATAAACCCCAGGCCCAAATCGACTGCCCAAAGCCCAGAACGCACTCGAACTCGAGCACCCGAAGCCCAACCTCACAAACCAAGAGGGTAGAGAGGGTAGAGACAGGTGTAGCGGGGAACAGGGTGGAGAGTGGAATGAAGAGAATACGGGTAGAGATTATATAAATAAGAAAGTTGAGATCGGAGAGAACAACTTCGATTCGTCGTCGCTTGCTCTAGGACCACCACCAACGCAACGCCCAGACCTTGCTCACGCGAACAGCGCGTTCCCCAAACAGTGTTTGCACCTAACAATTGCCTGGGTGTTCCGGTTTGTCGCCAACTTGGCGCCCCGTGCGCCGAGAGGCGTCGTCGAAGCTACACCGCTTTGCCGCCCGCGCCGCCTCGTGGGCGCTCGTGGGCGCCCCGTGCGACGATTCGCCATGTTGTTGCCGCCCGTGCCCGCTCGTGGGCGCTCGCCCTGGGAACATTCGGCGGCGCGCTTCAAACCGGGTGGGGGGGCCCTCCCCCCCAACACTCGGCGCCGTCGATCAAAACCAGGGAGACTCCCCTCCCCCCCGAAACCCCACCCCTCCCGAAACCCTCCTCTCCTCCCATGGGGGGGGGTTCAACCCCCCCCCCCTTGGCGCAGGCGCCGGCGCCGGCGCTGGCGACAATGACCCGAGGCAGCCCAGGGGGGGGTTCAAACCCCCCCCCCCTCGCGCCGGCGCCGGCGCTGGCGGCGGCCAGCAGCGCCGGCGCTGGCGCCGGCGACGGCGGGGACGCAGCGACGATTACCACCACTACCACCACCACCACCACTACCTGCACCACCATTGCCTGAACCCACCACCACCACCAACAACAGCACCACCACCACCACCACCACCGCAGCCACCACCACCACCACGACCACCACCACAACTCACCATCACCACCACCACCACGACCACCACCACAACTCACCATCACCACCACCACCATAAAAAAAACCCACCAACACTACCACCACCACCACCACGATCTACCACACCAACACCACCGCCACCGCCACAATCACTACCAGCAGCACAACCCACCGCCACCACCACAAACCACCACACCACCACCACCACCGCCACCACCACCACCACAACAAACGTCCACAAACCCCGCCACCACTACAACCCACCACCACCACCACCACCACCACCACCACAAACCACCACAAACCACCACCACCACACCAACACAACCACCACTACCACAACTCACCATCACCACCACCACCACCACACCACAAAAAACCCACCACCTCTACTACCACCACCACAACCACCACCACTTCAGTCTACCACACCACCACCACCACCACCACCACCACCACCGCCACAACCACCACCACTACCAGCAGCACAAACCACCACCACCACCACAAACCACATCACCACCACCACCGCCACCACGACCACCACCACCACCAACACCACCTCCACAAACCACCGCCAGAATCACAACTTTCCAACACCACCACTACAAACCACCACCACCACCACCACCACCAAACCACCACCACCACCACAACAGACCACAACCACCACCACTACCACCACCACACCACCACCACACCACCACCAAAACACGACCACCACCACCACCCACCGCGACAACCACCACCACCACAACAAACCACCACACCACCACCACACCAACCACCACCACCGCCACCACCACCACCACAACCCACCACCACCACCACCACCGTCGTCCTCCTCGACGCTCCCCGCCACCGCCGCCCGCCGCGCAGGCGCCGGCCGGCGCCCGGGCCCAGAAATGGAAACCGTCGTCCCCGCAGCCGTCGCCAGCCGCCGCCGACGCAAGCGCCGGCCCGAGGAGAGGGCAAGCAGGGGAAGGAAGGGGGGGGAGGGGTTGAAACGCCCTCCCCCCTCCGTCACGGCAAGGAGGGGAGGGGGGGAGAGGGGGGAGGGGTTCGAACCCCTTCCCCCCCCATCCAGGGGGGGGGGCCGGTTCCAAACCCCCCCCGTGTCCGGTTCCAAACCCCCCCCCCTCCAAGCGACCACAGAACGCGCTCTTTCTGAGGTTACAACACGTTGCCGCTCACGCCGCCTGGTGGGCGCTCGTGGGCGCCTCGTGCGCTGGGGTGGCTTGCCGAGATTACGCCAAGTTGCCGCCCGTGCCACCTCGTGGACGCTCGTGGGCGCCCTGGGCGCTGAGCTTACAACACATTGCTTGCACCATATAGGTTGCACGACCTGACTTACCCCCCCATCCAGGGGGGGTGTCCGGTTCCAAACCCCCCCCCCTCCAAGCGACCACAGAACGCGCTCTTTCTGAGGTTACAACACGTTGCCGCTCACGCCGCCTGGTGGGCGCTCGTGGGCGCCTCGTGCGCTGGGGTGGCTTGCCGAGATTACGCCAAGTTGCCGCCCGTGCCACCTCGTGGACGCTCGTGGGCGCCCTGGGCGCTGAGCTTACAACACATTGCTTGCACCATATAGGTTGCACGACCTGACTTACACCGCACAAATTACACAACATAGCTTACACCCCATCGCCATGGCTTACACCACATCGCTCACGCCACGCCACATAGCTCACACCGCATAGCTGCAGACTCCTCACTGCAATAACTCACTGTTTGGGTCCAAGTTGGCTAACATTCGTTGTTGCGTATGGCTTATTGGTATTTACTCTAACCCACACGCTAGCAGCTAACACCACGTGTATCGAAAATATGCCGCCCATCCTCAATAACTGCGTACACTGAATCGGGTCCTCGCCAATCTCGGAGCGCGGCTAGACTCCCGGTTTACATGTTTACGCTTGTGGATTCCTGGGTTGCGGCCAGGCCCTGGGGCCTCGACAGCACAGACAAGGTAGAAATTAGAGGGTAGAACAAATATATAGTTGAGAGTACGGAGCAGAGTGAAGCGATCAGAAAGCGGAGAGCGTTGAGCATCGAGCAGACAGACCAGAATTAGGGGAAGGGATTGGACAGCACAGGGTGGATGGCACCATCGGGAGCAACTGTATTCAGCAGGAGGGCACTGAGTAGGGAGTATGCACAATTTATTACTGCCGTCTATAAATGCTTCGCGCGAGAAATTAATAATGCTTGCAGAGTTGGCTCCATGCATTATTGGCAGACGGCATGTTGATAAATCGTGAAATCTCCTGTGTGCAGTATGGCATGCACGTCGCGTGATCAACAAATTCGTTACGAAGAACATGATAAGACAGGAGGTAAACAATATGGCGGCAAACCAACACAACTGACGAAGAGTTTGGACGCCCGAACCGGGTAGGGAAGAAATGGGTACGATGTCCAACAACAGATGTTGCCCGACACCGACAGCGGCCGCCATTGGGCAGGCGGTCTTCTGTCTCAAATCGACAACGACCGCGGCCTCGCCAACAGCGACCCCTGTTTAGAATGAGCAGAAAGTGGTGTCGATCTTTGTCCATTCTTCCCGTACCCATTCACGGGCGACGCACAAATGCGTGCCCGCGCCCTCGCGGTCTGCACTCTGCTGGCGCGGTCCCGCGGATGCGCGGACGCACGGATGCGCTCCGCGCGGGGACCCGCGAATCAACGCCCCGTACCCGCCGGGTCGCGGCCCAGGGGCGTGGCCTGCGAGGCCGCGGATACGGATGTGTGTTGCGCCCGTGGCCCAGGTCGATCGTCCCGAAAGAGGAGAGCCAAGCCAAAACGCACGGGCCAGAGGTGCTGCTGGGCTCCTCGGCAGGGCGAGCCACGTCTATCATCCGCGCCGCCGGCCCTCCCGCAGGGGGGTCGCAGGCAAGGGAAGCGGCACCTCGTCTTCGGAAGCTGCCGCCACCGTGCCCCTCGGTGCGCAGCGGAGTGCTGTGATGTCAAGCTCTGTCTGCTTGGCTTTCGGCGGCATGGCTCCAAGAGCCACCTTTCCTTTCCGCACCTGGTCGCGTGTGCCAGCATTCCAATATTGAAGAAGCCCGAGGACACACAAACAAATAGGTACAAATCCCAGGACTCCCCAGTTTCCCCTTATTTTCTAAGCTTTCGTCTTCCTCCCCGCTTCCCATATCTTCCTCTCTCTCTCTCTCTCTCTCTCTCTCTCTATATATATATATCTGTTCTTCCGAGGAACCCTTTATCCTCAGTGGCCAGACCGAAGGTTTGATCTGTGTGCTTACTGGTGCCCAGAGCTCTAGACGAGAGGATGCAATCGGGCGCCAGTCCTCGAGACCGACGCCAGTCAGCACAACACCTCGCGTAGATTTTGCTCCGCGGGTGGGCTCGGGGGGGAGCTTGAGCACAATCGGTAGCGGGCGTGCAGTGACGCGCGGCCCCTTGTCCTCAAGGCAATCTCAGAAAAGATTCACATGCACGCATTGCCATCTGTTCTTCCGAGGAACCCTTTATCCTCAGTGGCCAGACCGAAGGTTTGATCTGTGTGCTTACTGGTGCCCAGAGCTCTAGACGAGAGGATGCAATCGGGCGCCAGTCCTCGAGACCGACGCCAGTCAGCACAACACCACAAAATCGGAGACCTCCGAAACCATATGTCTGGAGACTCGACTTAAAGGCGAGGGGCCACTTTATCAAACATCCCCCGAAACACATGGTTCCGATGAGCATTGAGAAGCGCACGAGAGATATGTACGCACAGGTCACTTGGGTACGGTTCGGCGATAGCCGTGAGAAAACGGCCGGCTTTATCTTTGCCGGCGAGTTCAATGTGGGGCCTACCTGAGAAAGAGCAAATACCTTTACTACAGCACTTGAAAGGACGCAGACATGACAAATCAGCATTAGCATAAAGGATCGCGGTGCGCTTTCGCCACGGAGTGCCGAAGGCGCAGAAGTCTATGGACAGGCGCTGGACCCCGGGCCGTTTCGAGACTCTTTCAGCCACAGGCTGCTTCCAGAGCCAGGAGGACCCCGGGTTTTCCAGGCCGACAGGGATCCCAAGGGACAGCGCCAACTCAAAAAGACTAAAACTGAACGCACAGAGCCTATTTCCTTGCAAAACTTTCAAGGCATCACTCGGCGACAATCCAGGAAGGCCTTGAGGGTGTGAGCTACTCCTGAGCGGAGGGGGGCCATTCGGTCGGTTGCGAGCGAGCGACATCGACTGACAAGGCGTGCCCAACCACACAGCTGCCACAAGGCCTGATCGAAGCCATCCACGAACGAGCTGCTGAACTCGGCGCTGCAGAAGGTCTGCGGCCGGGTCATGCTTGAGGTCCAGCTCAAAGGCGGCCAGGCGGCCGCGGGAGACACGCCGCCACGACAGCGAGAGGCGCCCTGACCCGCTGAACACTTCCAGGAACACGGGTTGGCCGACGACCTCTACATGCCGAGCCAGACCTTGGAGAGGCGCCCGCCAATGATGCCGACTAGGCGCGTGGCACGGCGCTGCTCGGAGATCGGAAGCCGTCGCAACTGCTCTGCCACGCGGCCCCCTTTGGTGTAGCGCCGCAGGGACGAGTCCGACACCCATCTCCCCCTCTTTTTGATCTCGTCGAGGCTCCTGAACTTTGCGAGGCATTCGTGGGAGGCCCCCCCGTGCCGGAGGGTGTAGAGCGTCGGGGGCCCCAGGACGCCGAGGTGCAGCGCTGTCGCAGCACGCCTGAAGACCAGGGCCCACTGGTTGTAGCTCATGTCGAAGACGCGGCCGCCGGGCGCGGCTCGGGCCCGCAGCGCCTGCAGCAGCGGTGGCAGCCAGGTGAACTCCGGGCTGTCCAGGAGGAGACCCTCGTCGTAGACCCCCGTCTTCGAAGGCTGGGCGCACTCCATCGGGTGCAGAACCACCGACCAGAAGTTCAGGAAGGTTCGCCCCGGAGGGGCGCCCTCGGCAGGCGGGACCACCTGCTCGCGCGTCAGGCTGAGCAACTCGGCCGGCCGAAGGTACAGCGCGAAGCAGACGGCCGTCGCCGCCGCCGCTGTTGCCTCGCCCGCATCCAGCATCCAGTCGATCATCAGGCAGGCAATCGGCCAGGGCAGTGGCAGTCGGGACCGAGGCGGTACCAGCCGAGCCCAGCCCTTCGCAGCACGAGCGGCCCTCGGGAAGGCCACCTGTAGCCGTCCGGGCGCCGCGCGGCAATGAGCCAGTGCCGCCATGTACTTCGTCGCCTCCTCGCTCGGGTAGCCGTCGAAGAACAGCTGGTTGAAGAAGGTCACCAGGGCGATGTCCAGCTCGGGCACATCCTCGATCGGCAGCCGGGCCGAGGTCGCCCACCTCGTGAACTTCGAGACCCTGTCGGCATAGTCCCGGCGGGTCGCCTCCCCCACGGCCTGCGTCTCCAGGAAGGTCAGCGAGCCCGAGGACGCCGCCGTGTTGGCGGCGGGGAAGGCGCGCCTCCTGGCGACTTGGCGGTCCGCCTGGTCCCCCCAGGCCAGCGCAGCTGCGCCCTGGGAGCGGCCCCGGCGCCCAAGGCGGGTGGGCGCTGGGGCTGCTGGAGCCGCCGCGGGCCGCCTGCGGAGGGCGCCCGGCGGGCTGGCAGCAGACGCTCCCTGGGGCGACGACCGCTGGAGCATACCACGCCTCGGGCCTAGCACCAGGCCGATTCCGTGAAGCTGGGTCGGCAGAGTTGAACTCGGACGGCAGCCACCTCCAGTAAGCCGCCGAGCCTGAGGCCAGCAGCAGACATGCCACCTGTCGGCAGACGGCGAGGAGGGCGGGCGCCGAAGACCGCCCCTTTGCCAGAGCCAAGATGGGGGCCATGGCATCGTTCAGCATAACGTGAGCCTTCCGAAAGGACCTCTTGGAGCGAAGCTTGTGCTTAAGCGCCATCACGCCTGACCTGGCCTCCAGGATGACCTGAGGGGCTGGGCGCCGCCAGGGCACCGAGAGGACCGGGTGCCAGTGGTCCCTCCAGATGTCGGGCGGGACCTCCTCGAAGCTGGGGTCCGCGTCGGAGACCACGGGGCCGTCCGGGACGGCCCCAGAGGAGCCTTGACCAGAGACAGCAGCGGCTCGGGGCCCAAGGCGTTGGCGCTCAGCTTCTCGAGAGAACCTCCAACGCTCGTTGTACCGGGCCAGACGCTTGACCGAGTCCTCAGAGACCTCCCGCTGGGTAACTCCAAAACCCCAAGACGATGCATCCAGGCATGTGAGGGTGGTGTCGAAGGGCAGCCCGAGGTCCCTGCTGCAGAAGACGAGGAGAGCCCGGGCCCAGCGTAGTTCACGACGGACGACGGGCCAGAGCTTAGCGGTGCGATTGTGGTAGACCTCCCCAAACTTGTAGACGGCCCCCAGGCACGAGAGGAGCTCCCTCCTAATGAGCACCCTGGACGTGATGTGCGAGACGATCCTCACCATCTCCTTTCCAGAACAGAACCCACGTCGGAGGACCTCCTGAATCCCAAGGTACAGCTTCCACCTAAGTCTGGGGTTGAGCGAGATCACGGGCGAGTTCGAGTCGAAGGACCAGCCAAGAGTCTCCCCGCCCACTCCGCTCTCCACCCCGTGAGTAGGCAGTCCCACAGCACGCATATGATGATCGACCTGACGGGCGGCAGCGATAGCAGAGGGCTCCGAAAACGACAGCGCAACGAAGTTGTCGACGTATTCGGTATGAACAACTCCCGAGTCGACGACAGGGGCAGGCTGGCGATCCACTAGGACCCGCTCCGGCCTGACGAGGCCAGCACGCTGCGAGACAATCTCGTTCACCGACTGGCACAACCAAAGACTGAGACTGAAGCCCATCGGAGGACACCTGAAGCACGGATAGACCCACTGAGTAGGGGTCACGGGCCGCCCATTCGCATCGACCGAGACTCCCAGCTCGCCAGCCCTGATCTTGGGGAGTCCGAAGTACCGACGAAGCCAAGGTGGGAGCAACATGGCATAGAAGGCATCCGCGATGTCCACACCAGCGACACACACAGGCTCCCGACTGTCAACCCTGAGCTGAGAGAAAGCGGCCCCAGTTGCCAGCTTCACTTTTGGGGGCTCGTCGAACAACTGGGACGGGATCCGTCCATCCAGTATGAGCCTCAGGGCCCCGGATTTCTTATAGACGAAGAACATTCCCACTGAACTCAACGCTTCGGTATGAAACTCAACGAGGTGCGATGACACAAGACGGTGCAATACTTTCTTATACAAACGAGGGTTCCTCAAGTTAGGATCCGAATACGCCCTCCTCGGAGCGCGCTCCGCGACCCGGGCAAGCCCCCGCTCACGGGGCAAGAGTAGTTCTTGAAGGCGATGACCAATACTCATGCTGTCGTCCCCGATGAGCGCAGACAAGGGCTTCGGCTCGGAGCCCACGCTCGGCAGGGAGATCAGATCGACGCGGTCGAAGGTCACCGGCGCAATCACGGCGGACTCCTGGTCGTATGACTGCGCGACGCGGAGCTCCTCGAGGGCTCCTGCGGGAGTGAGGTCGGGCGGGGGCACTCCGAAGGCGTCGACGGCCTCCTGGATCACCGCCAGAGCCTCCTGCTGGGCGGTCGTGGGGCCAGTGAGACCAGTGGCCCGCGGACAGCTCGAACCAGTGTACATCTCATTCATGGCGCGGATGGCGTCGACGACCATCGCGCGGCGGTGACTGGTCCTGTGGAGTCGCCTCTTAGTAGTGCGAGAGAGGTCTGCAGCCACAAAACTACGCTCGTCACCGGCGGGCACAGGGAGCGGAAAGAGATCCCGATGTCGTCGCTGACGAGCTGGCGGGGCCCCATGTACATCTGCAGCGCGGGGGGCCATGTCCGCGAAGCCCCCTAGAGAGTCGCTGAAGGCGGTCGGGGAGCCCGCCTCCAGATCCCGCTCCATCATGGAGCCAGAGCGCGACGCTCTTCCTTAGCTTTCCTGATCTGCTTAAGGATTCCAGCGTCACGCTCGACTTGCTTGGCCACGTGCTCCAGTAGTGCCGGAGCCACCATCATGCGGCCGTCCTCGCGAGCGGTGCCCGTGAAGACCCCCACCTCATCCACGAAACCGAACTTCAAGAAGCCACCGCCGGCCCGGCTCTTGGGCTTGCCCTTCGCCTTCGCCTTGGGCTCGCCGTCGGCCGGGCCAGCAGCGTAGACGCCCGAGTCGCGCGCCTCGTACTCCATGGCGTACATGTATTCGTACAGCTGCGCCTGCCGCAGCATCACCTCGACGCCCGCCACGTTGGGCAAGTCGAGGAGGTCCCACGTCATGAGGTAGTCGACCATCCGCATGATGGACTCGTAGTGCGTGACCCCGAAGTCATCGCGGGACAGCCGGTAGTAGGACACAAACTGGTGGAAGTGCTCGATGGCTCCCCCGCGCTTCCTGTCCAGGAAGCGGAGGCACCATAGTGTGGTCCTCGGGCCGTCCAGCGGCCGGTCGGGGAAGGGCTCTTCGCGTAGTCTGTCGACACTCTCGTGAAACTGCACGCGCTGCCTCGAGCCGTCTCCAAGCAGGGCCACGGGTTGGAGGCGAGCATCGGCGAGGGCTTCGGCGCCACGGTAGGCAGCCTGCGAGGTCGTGATCCGACGGATGGCCGACCAGCTCCCGCCGGCATCCTGCTTCAAGCCGATCGCCCCCCGCACGAGCTCAGTCCCGTCCAACGTGACCGGGTCTCCGCGTCGGGCCGTCGTCGTGGTCTCAACGTAGACCCATTGCCCGTCAGCTCCAGGAACGGCATTCGGCCCCAAGGGACCTGGGGGAGCCCCTGCAGCGGCGAGCGGTGCGGCGGCTGCCGCCACTGGGGCAGCTCCAGCAGGCGGCACTGCCGCGGGCGCGGCGGGGCCAGCCGGTACCACAGCCAGGGCGGCGGCCACAGCAGCCCCTCCCCCGGCGGCGGGGGCGGCGGGTGCGGGCCCAGGCGCGGCAGCGTCACCAGGCACGGCACCGAACGTGAAGTACACGGCAGCCCCCGCGGGCGGCACCACCCCGGGCCGCCCGGCCGCGCGCTCCGCGTCGAGGAACACGTCGCGGGCGTAGGCGTCCACCTCATTCCTGATGGCCACCTCCTCTGCCGCCGTCAGCGCCCGCCGGAAGCGGTAGAGGTTCCCGACGTCCAGGCCAGCAGGCCGAGTGCGACGGTCATCCTCGAAGCGAACCGCAGCCAGCGTCCCATCCGACATGTCGTACAGCTCCTCGTACACGTCGCCATCCGGCGTCGAGATCAGCACTCGCAGCGGGGACCACGGGACGTCAGTCGGATCCTGAATCACCCGGCCCCACACGCGCCGCTGATGCCACAGCTGCGCGCCTGCGTACTGCGCCCATGCCCAGCGTCGCACCCCCGGCGGCGCCTGCTCCTGTGCCATCCTTCAGGGCGGCGGGCGTCGGAGCCGGTCGCAGCTTCACCACGGCCGAGCCGACCAGCCTCACCCCGTGGAGGCTGAAGACCAACAGGTTGAGGGCGATCAGGAGGCAGGCCAGCCACCCGCCTGCCCAAGAGAGGCCTTCAGGCTCCTGGGCGGCCGGCTGGGGCGCGGGCGCGGGCGCCGGCGCCTCTGGAGCCGCCGGGCAGGCGGCGGGCGGGTGGAAGTGGATCGGCGCCGCCGCTGGGCAGGCCGGGCACGCCGCCGGCTGCGGGCACGCAGGGCACGCCGGGCAGCGGGCCGACCAGCTCACGACCGTCTGCGAGACGGTGCCGACGAGCCAGTCCAGGTACCGCTGCCCAAACAGCCAGGCCATGTGAAGCGGGGATGCGTCCCCCGGCGCCTCTGCGCCGGTGTCAGCTTGAGCACAATCGGTAGCGGGCGTGCAGTGACGCGCGGCCCCTTGTCCTCAAGGCACTCTCAGAAAAGATTCACATGCACGCATTGCCATATCTATCCCCGGGAGTCGACGATCAAGGGGCGGCGCCAGAGGCGCCGCCGGGGGGGGACGCAGCGCGGATCCGAGAAATCCGCGCGGAGCGCCACAAGTTTGTGTGTTTATGGCGCTGTTCCTGCTTCGACGTTTCTCCCTCCTGAAGTAGAGCTTCCTGCGCACTGGAAGGCCTCCTGGGCGGCGCCGCCGAGGGGGGCCCAGCGCGGATCCGAGAAATCCGCGCGGAGCGCCACAATTTTGTGTGTTATGGCGCTTTTCTTTCTTCGACGTTTCTGCTCCTGAAATGGCGCCGCCGGGGGGGGGGGCAGCGCGGATCCGAGAAATCCGCGCGCAGCGCCACGAGTTTGCGTGTTATGGCGCTCGTCCTGCTTCGACTTGTCTCCTCGCACCCGAAGGCCTCCCGAAGGCCTCCCGAAGGCCTCCCGAAGGCCTCCCGAAGGCACCCGAAACAGAGCTTCCTGCGCACACGAAGGCCTCCCGGGAGGCCTCCGGCGCCTCCGGGCCGCGGAAGGCCGGCCAAGGAAGCACTGCGGCCGTGGGCCGGCACACTCTCCACGTCTTCGCTCTCTCCAGGGGGGGAGGAGGAGGAGGAGGAGGAGGAGGAGGAGGAGGAGGAGGAGGAGGAGGAGGAGGAGGAGGAGGGGGAGGGGGGAGGAGGAGGAGGGGGAGGAGGAGGAGCAGGAGGAGGAGGAGGAGGAGGAGGTGTAGGAGGAGGAGGAGGAGCTGGAGGAGGAGAAGAAGAGGGCCCTGACCCCAGGCCGCATCTCGCTTAGGGGCCTCCCCCCACACTTGTTCGCTCCTGCTCCTCCTCCTCCCCTCTTTTCCGTCCGTGCTGGCGCCGTCCGTGGCCTGTGTTCTCCTCTTCCGCCCGGGGGCCAGGCCGCAGTGATAAGCAGAGGCAGCTCAACCAGTAACCTGCAGAAGACACTGGGCACCAAGATGGCGGCGCACGGCCTTATGGCCCACGCTGGATTGACCCATGCGCCGCGCCAACGCCCGCGATGGCCCCGCGCCCGATCTTACCGTTGCCGCTTTTGCTCTGTGTTGAAGGACTCCAGGGTGCCAAATAGTCGTCGAAGTCTGCCCAGATGGCCCTGAGAGGCCCCGAGAGGGGATCCGGGAAGCCCCCAGAGAGGGCCCCGAGAGCCAGAGGAAGAGTCCAACCGCCCCCCCTTCTCCTTAACCTGGCGTGTGCGACTTGAAACGGATTCGCGTGAGCGGAACCCCATCACTCCGATCACATAACAGAACTTTCGTGCCAGGACTTTCCTTACTTCCGAAGCGGTGGCCTCAGGACGCCTCGAGGGCGCTGCTGGGGCTGCATACATCCCAAGTGTTTTGAGATCGCTCCAGAAGGATTGTTTTGGGCTACTTCCTTGGCGGCCTACTGGGCCGTCTTGCAGGCCCTAAGGGCTGGCTCAAGTCACCGAAACCAAAGGTATCGAACATGCTGCCACTTCCGCATGCTCGCATTGCCGGGCCCCGTGGGAAACCTGCGCTCGAGGAGAGGGAGGCATCCGCTGTCCCGCCCTGAGGAACCGGTCACAACAGACGGCCCTGTCGCTTCCAGGAGCCCACGAAGCCTCGTCCCCCCGTCCGACTCTGCCCTTCTGCCCGGCCTCCCTCCTGGTGGGCTAGTCTTCCACCGCCACCACCTCACGCAGGAGGGGGAGGGCTCCTCCTCCTCCTCCTCCTCCTCCTCCTCCTCCTCCCTCCTCCTCCTCCTCCTCCCTCCAGAAATTGGCGGTGGTGGTGGCAAACGGGTGCATCCTTGCCCTCCTCCTCCTCCTCCTCTCTCCTCCTCCCTCCCTCCTCCTCCTCCTCCTCCTCCTCCTCCCTCCTCCTCCTCCTCCTCCTCCTCCCCCCTCCAGCTTCTGGTGGCCCATCCTCCTCCTCCTCCTCCTCCTCCTCCTCCTCCTCCCTCCTCCTCCTCCTCCTCCTCCTCCTCTCCTCCTCCTCCTCCTCCTCCTCCTCCCCTCCTCCTCCTCCTCCTCCTCCTCCTCCTCCGCCTTCCCCCCTCCAGCTTCTGGTGGTGGTGGTGGAAGACCAGGCCCGTCGCCTCCTCTCCCTCCCCGTCCCTTGGCCCGCGCGCCCGTGGCCGCGAGGGCACGCGCGGGGAGGCTGCTGCGCCCCTGGCCATGCAGCGCTCCGCCACGCCCCCCCCCGCGGCAGCCAGGGAGGGGCTTCAGTGGCTGCCGCGGGCGGCGCGGGGGCGCGGGAGCTGTTCTCGGACGCGACGACGACGACGACGACGACGACGACGACGACGACGACGACGACGACGACGACGACGACGACGACGGGGAGAGCGATGACCACGACGTCACGTCGTCACGAAGTCACGACGGCGTCGTCACAACGGCGACGGCACGACGTCACGACGGCGACGGCTCGCGGCGCACTCGCGGCCCAAGCCCCCCCCGGGGGGGCCCCCCCTCGTCGTCGTCCTGTTTCCCGTGGCCTCCGAGCCTACATCGGCGGCGAGCGAGGGGGGGAAATGGGAAGAAGAATTCTTCTCGGAGGGCGGCGGGACTTCTCAGAAGCCCTCGCGCCTTCTGAGCGGCGGTTGTGTGTGTGTCGTCGGGGAAGGCTTAGGAAACTGCTCAGGAGGCCGGGAGACTTCCGAGCCTTCTGAGAAGGCCTTCTCCTTCTCGCTTCCCCCCTCGCTCGCCGCCGAATGTTGCGCTGTTGCAGTCACACTTCCATAATACGTGAAACAGTTCTTCGAGTGCAGAAGCATGTCGCGCATGATGTGAGAGGGTCGTCCGTAGCTGTTTGCACCAACACTGTTGAAAATAACACACACGTCCAAACCATGGGAAACAACCGTCACCAACCGTGGTCCTAGAGATGGTACACACATCGAGTCAAGGCAGCCGAGCACAACGCCGCCACGAGGGAACGCGTGCGACAAGAAGAAGAATTCCATACTCCAGCGTGCCGTGGGCACGACTCGAGTGTCCGCAGGCCCCTCGGAGCTCTGCACCGAAAAGGTATGCGCGCCGAGGCGAGCTCGGCGCGACGAGGGGTGCCCCAAGGCGCAGGCAGCTGCAGGAGTGGTCTCGTGCAGGGGCCTGGGCACCGAATCTGCTGGAATTCTGGGCGTTGCTGGCGCCCCTGGGATGCGGCGGTGGCTGGGATGCGGCGGGGCCCTGGGATGGCACAAGATAGCCTCGAGAGGGCCCGACACGCCCCGTCAAGGCTCCAGGATGGCCCAACGAGCCCCCACAACACTCCAAGAGGACTCCATGAGAGCCCCACGATGCATCAATCAGTGATTCACAATATGTCGTTGACCGAGCTCAAACTTCTCGCTCGCTCGGGCTTCCCACACTCCCAGACGGCCCATGAGGCCCCCAAGATCGCTCCAAGACGGCCCAAGAGACCCCCCAAGACGGCCAGAAGACAGCCGAAGAGGCTCCCAATATTGCCCAGGCGGCCCCCAACATCGCCCACGAATGCTCCAAAGAGGGCCTGAGAGGCCCACAATATGTCTTCAAGAAGGGGGACTCGATCTGACGTTTCGAAACCTTTCCCACAAGATCGCCCCCAAGTTCGTCAAGAGGCCCCCAAGAAACTCTAAAGAGAGACACCCCAGGAGGCCCCTGAGAGGCTTCCAAGACACCCCCACGAGGTCCCCCAGGCCGCCTCTCAAGACACCCCAGGAGGCCTCCAAAAGGCCTCACCATACACCCGGACTCCTAGAAAACAAACAGTACCCCGCCTGGCGATACCAATAGCAATAAACCCACCAGCCCTCTGGGCGTCGGTGGTTTAGGGCGTTTCTTCTGCCATCCCTCCTTCTTCCCCTTCGGGGAAGGGTTTATATATCACTGTTCCCTATGAATAAACACCCCCTCCCCCAGGCGACGGGGGGCCAACCAGGGTCCATGACAACACCTCTCCCCACCATCCCTTTGTAAAAAACAATGCAAAACACACTCTGCCCCCAAATTCGGAACATGCGCAGCCAACCCGATGCGCCCCCCCCCCCGCCCCTCCCATCCCTGTCAAAAAATACAGAGTACGCTTGGCGGCGGCGGCGGCGGCTGCGGAGGCGGCGGCTGCAGGGCTGGGCTGCGGCGGCGGCGGCGGCGGCGGCGGCGGCGGTGGCGGCAGCGGCTGCGGCGGCGGCGGCGGTTTGGCAGCGGGGGGCGGCGGCGGCGGCGGCGGCGGCGGCGGCGGCGGCGGCGGCGGCGGATTGGCCCCCAGTAGCTGCCCATCCAAAGACGACTGCTGAATATGCTGAGGCTCGGGCCAGACTCGGGTGCTACGTATGTGTTGGGAGGGCGGGTGGGAGTGAGCGAGACGGCTTGCGGGCGGGGAGGGGGTCTTGACCCCTCCCCCTACCCCCTCCCCATGGACCTGGGGGGGGGCGCGAGGTGTCAGGGCGTCCAAAACGGCCTCGGCGAGGAAGCCTAACACAGTGGTTGTACTATGGTTATGGCCCCATTTTGGCCTCCTGGGGGAGGGGGGGGCGCTAATGAATGCTCACCGCGTGTTTGATCGATCTCCTTCAAGATGGCCCCAAGAAGCGCCCAGGAGGTCCCAAGAGGTCACAGGATGGCCCAAAGATGGCCCCAAGGGGGCCCAAGAGGCTCCCAGGAGGCCCCCAAGAGACCCCCAAGGGGCCTCAAGAGACCCCCCAGAACCACCCAAGATGCTCCAAAAGGCATCGGCGAGAATGCCAAAACGGCCTCGGCGAGGAAGCCCAACTCATTGGTCCACCAAGATTTTGGCCCCATGTTGGCTCCCTGGGGGGGGGACGCTAAGTAATACTCCCCTCTTGTTTGATCGATCTTCTTCAAGATGGCTCCAAGAGGCCCCCAAGAGGCCCCCAGGAGGCCCAAGAGACCCCCAAG